CAGGTGATATCTTCAATAATAAAGATATCTCAATTTTCAGTATCACGCAGTACTCCTCCCAGTCCAATAATAATTATTACATTGCCATAACCACACTTGTGTTCGGCGTATCTCGGTTTATTTTTTTATTTTTTTTTTCGTATATAGTTGTTTCGTATTCTTGTTTTATAGTAGCGTGAATGAGAATCGCAAGGGCGGAGAAACGTTTTCGGGCCAAGACATTCAAGCCTCGGGATGCAACAGACTGTTATTATCTCATTCGCGTACACAATTTCATCGGCCATTCTTCTGCTTAGCCGTTCAAAGCGAGTGAGATGAAAAATTCTGCGTTTGACCTTTGGCTAAGTTCTGAATTCTAATTTGCTTAGTCTGCTATTATCTTAGGTTAAATTAAAAAAATAATTACTTCCGTAATGCATTTCCCAATTTTAGCTTCTTGCGTTCGTTATAGGATAGCTGTTCCATCCAAACCACTGAAAAGCTTTAGTATCCAATTTTTAACAGTCTGTGGTTTTACGACATCGCGACATTGGCAAAAGTTTTGATATTGTATTTTTCTTATATTTCATTACTTGTCTTATTAGTGATGTGTCCCAAGCTATTTCAGCTCAGCAAGAAGATTCGTCTGGGACATTTTCTCAAAAACGTAAAATAATTCGAATGTCAATAAGTTCAAAAAAAAAAGATAACGTACATCGTGTGCGGTATCGATTTCATCAATTGAAATATTGACGGTAAATTATGACTTAACATTTAACTATACAGGGTGCTTAAACGTATTCGTAGCTACGAGCTCTAATCTACAGGTTCTCGAAATACAGGCGTTATTTTGGATACAATCTGATTTTATATGAGAAAGTCCATATTTTTATAATTTGAAAAATAAATAATATTGAACCATGACTTACATAATATGCTATTTTAAAGAGTTGTTCACATTTCAATAACTAAATCTATTTGTGAGTGAAATTTCAGTTTTTACTACACGCCCTGTTTTTTTATAAATTCTATCGGGAAAACTTTAATTGTTTTGAAAATTTAAATTGGAATTATAAAGGTTTTGAAATTCCGCTTACTTGTAGATATGATTTTCTTCCTTAGAATTGTTACTAATTGATACGATTTTTTGATAGGCGAGTGACCTTCTTAAGACGTTAGCAGTAAAACTTGTTGAATAATTGCAATTGACATAAAATTTTGAATAACATTTAAGAATTTGCTGATTTGTAGTTATTTTTCGCCGTCTAAAACTGTACTTATCTTTTAGGAGCAGTGTATTCTAAAATTCTTTATACCTTTTCATTTTTTATAGGTAGGTTTTCAAAATGAAAAACATTTTCTTTTTCTTGAAAATTTGGATATGACGATTAATCCGAAAGAAATTAAACCCAGCTGAACTTTTCAGTACTGGCGAATATTCAGAAAAGTATATAGAAAATTAGCCGTTTTACGTAAAACCGAAAAATCAATGTTGTATTGATACTAATTTTCGTCGATATTTGTAAATTCTAAATTTACATCTGGCTCTCTTGTTCTACTCAAAGTTGTGTCAAAGGTGACTGATGTTTAAATAAGAAATGCATGAATAGATGTGTGCGTCTCTAATTTCAATAATGTTAAGTTTCATTTATCATTCTCCTTGAATGAAGCTCTTTGTAAAAGGTTGTCCTATACTGCATCAACTTTGAAATTGATCAAAATTAAAGGCTCATCAGGACAACTTGGCTTAACGATTTTTGAAGACAACAATGCCTGGTTTTTTATATTTGGATCTGAACTGGAAGAAGAAACAAGTAAAGCCAAGGTTACAATAAACCCTAATATAACATGTAATGAGAATTCAAAAAGTTCCTTAATATTGTTTTTAGCAACTCAGCAATGTTAGAAATAATTATGTTTATGTAAAAAATGATCTTGAAATGCTAATCTGTTTCTATTGGTGGTGACCAGAAAATACTATCATTCGTAAATTGTGTGATGCATTAACTAACCATAGTAATACAGAATTTAATACATCAAGTAATACATAATTTTTTAAACAGAATGCAGGGGAAACTCATCAGTATTGCTGGCACATATGTCTGTATGCACCGGCTGCAACATCAGGTCTCATATATCCATTCCATTCATATCACTTATCAGAAGTAGAGATGTTGGCATAATTATCGGGCCATAATTGCATCAATAACGACCGAAAACAGTCAACTAATCCCGCGTAAATCAAAAGTCGTGTCACATGGAGGGTCTGTGGCAGCAGTCGGATCGCCAGAAGATCATAAATCTTTCCTTGGCGGCTTCAATAGATCGGCCTACGGGACTCGAACCGATGTACACGTCCCTTTAAAAATTGATAAGGTGGTCTTGGGATCACTTTTACACGATTTTATGAGTCAGTGGGGACCAGAGTGAAATATAAAAATTACTTCACCGTTCAATAGTTTTGAGTTCTATGCTAAACCAACTGTACAATCGCAAATGGATCGTGGGTATTTCGACAAGTAGGTGTGCATCTTCTAACTCATTGCCATTTATTGATTGGCAATCGAAGTGCGATCTGAAAGATTTGTTTGTTTGTGTTTTTGAAATTTTACTATCTTCCTCCTATTTTTGAAATGTTTGCTTTTGCCCGCTCTATTATTCTTCTCTGTTAGCATAATTCTTATCATCTGGCTGTATTTGCTCAGTGTTTTTTTACATATGCTTGTGGTGATTTTCATTACTGTCTCCCATCACCATAGTGTGATTCGCGAACTTACTATCATTAACAGTAACAGTAAATTCACAAACAATACACATAGTGTGTGTATAGACACAATATTACTATTATACAATATTACTATTATCAAAAAAAATGTTTTTTTTGATGGAGGAATCCGATTTTCCGATAATTTAGCATGGTGGTGCTAACTGCGCCATTAATAGTTTGCAGCCATTTAAAACACCACATATTTTTTTGGTTTTAAAATACCACAAATTTTTTGCCAATATCTCGTTCTCGCATATTTCCTAAACAAAATATGTACTTGGTTCAAGTCGATATCATTTTTTAAACTGAACAATCAAGGAAATATTCTGCACAAATTTTAAAACAAACAATAAACAGTTTTTATTTAGATACCTGACGAACTACTTTTAACTAAGTACTTTTTAAACTCAGCAAAGTCTATGTTTCTTTGAATAATAATTATGAATGTTCAAACTGAACTCCTCTGACTTTAATACATTTGTTAACATTTCAAATAAATGATTGTCGTATTAAAAAAATTAATGGTTGTTCCGGGTCTTTGACATTTGTCTTCCGACAAATTTAAAATTTCCTAGACATTAACATAAACCATATCGTATATTTATTAATTCGAAAATAAATTAAAAGGGGGCATTTTCAATAAATTCAACGTAATAGGAGAAGTTAAAATATTTTTCACAATATTACGAATCAAATTTGAGCCCAAAAAATCCATAAATTTTTCAATGTGAAATAACTCGGAAACGCGAAAATATCGATTTCAACCTATTTCATATTTTTTATTTAGGAAATATTAGAAAACCAGATATTGCCAAAAAAAGTCACAAGCTAAGTTAGCGCCTTCTAGGAATTACAAGCTAAGTAATAGGAAATTTGAAGAGAAAAAAAAAACTGCAACCTCAATAGAAAAAACACCAAATGTATTTTTTTGGTTGTAGTAAAATTGGATAAGAATCTATTAAAAAAACCAACAATTTTATTTATTCTTTGACACTCTGTACCTCGGAAACAATTAAATTTCGGATAAGACAAATTTGCCTACAAACCAATATTTTTGGGTAAACAATATGTGACGTACGTTGAGGACCACCCTGTAGTTGGGAAATAGATGATTTGTAGATACGAGACTAAGACATTCGATAAAAAACGCGACGTTTGGACGAATCTTTACGGAAAACTCTTATGAAAATTGATTAAGTGCTGATTTCAATTTTTTAGTAGTTTATAGACATTTTAAGTTGTTGAGGGCTCTTAAAGAATCGATATATATTTTTTAATTTAATAGCACGGATGATGTTATTTATTAACCGTACGCAGTAAACGATATAAACAAGACCGACAAGAGAGATTAATTTCCAAAATAAAAAGCGAAGTTAACAACAATGCCAGAAAACTTCACTTTCATAAAACATTATGGAAAAAATGAAGGGATATAAAGCTCTTCTAATAGAAATTGATTCATCCTTACATATCGGTGCAAATTATTTTTCTTAGCTTGGTATGAAAATTTCAACTACATACTAATGTGTTTCTCCAAATGTCCATCTACCTTTCATAGACGTAAATCTATGTTCAGATCAGAACAGAAAGATAATTAAAAAGGAGTATTTCTCTTGAATTAATTAATAATTTGTTATTTTGATTATTCAAACAATTTATTTTACTTTACTTCAAAGGAACATTGGCCAGATGCTCAACTGGAAAATAATTTCCAATTTCAAAATCCACCCAACCGTGATATTTCCTAACCCAAATAAAAGCACTCCATCCAAAACCCACAATAAATCAATTTCAAAATCGGAGACCGTTTCAAATTGATATGGGGTGAAAATTTCATTGCCCTATCTTCACATCGTAAAGTAAGCGAAACAACCTTATAAAACTATGGTTGTTGTGCCCTCTTTTAAATTGGCATTGAACAATGGAAAAAGCGGTTTGGCACAAAGCATCCTTAAACTTCTTTTGACTCATCATGATCTATTACGATTTAGCGGATCTTCGGCTAAGGGAAATGCAAAGAAATCGTAGGGCTTCTGGTTAATAGTTTACTTATTCAGTGTCTATTGTTGCAATCGGTTATAAAAAAGGGATATTGACATTGTGAAACTAGATGATTCAATTCCAATGAAAAAAAACTTATACAGACATATTTGGCTAGGTATAGTTAACATGAAAGATTTTATTTCTGTAACAAAACGCTGGTTGTATGTACAGCAGTACCTAACTGTAATGAGTTGTTAAAAATTTTCCACAATCTCATGCATATGAAAAAGCCAACGCTGGTTGGCGTCTCCGGTAACTACATAGGCGGAATATGGGCAAACCCAGAAGAGGAGAGATAATTAAGACGCTTAAATGTAAATTTGCCGTTTGATTAGAGCCAATTTTCTACCCAACCAGAAAGCCCATAATCAAAGCTGATTGCCCATTATGGTAATTGGGCAGTTATCGACATTCGCCGAAGAGCGTGCGATGACCTTTCAAGCCACCAATAACAACAATAGAGAATGCGAAGAACGTTTCCTTGAAATTGTTTTTATGGATTATTTCATTCATATAAATAAATATAATACGACTTGATTTAATTGCCTCTTACGCCAGCTGCTTCAACACTAGCTCCTCTGATCAGTCAACATAAAAATTTGATGTGTTGTGACATGGCTCAAACTATGATTAATCTCACTAGACATAAAATAATCGAATTGGAGCAACAGTGGCGCTTTCCATATGATTTAGTCATATCAGGAAGCAAATTGTTGGTACAGAAGACGGTGTAGTGTTTTGAGGTAGAACGACTTTCATTAGAACCGCCGCCCATATCAGCCGTTTCAAAATATTTTGTAAGTTTTTATTTTCAATCGTAAAGGAATAAACTGTGACAATTTTGGATTGTCACAGTTTATTCCTGGATTTAGGACGCACTCAAGGTCTACATCCATGAGGATAATGTTTGGCGGTGTAAATTAAAATATGTAGAAACTATCGTTCTAGTCGAAAAACAGTTCAAAGGCGCTGTTACAGTGAGCAATTGCTTGAACTTGCAACGGTTACAGCTAATTGCAACAGAAAAAATGTCACCATCATTGGTGTGTGAAGGTTCAGCATCTTGGTAATGAGTAAGTTTCATTGAGTATAATGCCGATTTAATTTTGAACTATTTTAGGAATTTGAAAATCATACTTGTTAGAGAAAACCCAGTCTAACTATAAAGTTCGACGACTTCTGGTTTTTTCTTTCGTTAAACCACCCACACTTTTTTGGAATGGCAAAAGTCTTCCAGATGCAAGTGAGCGTAGAATTCATATGATCTAATTCTTATTCAGTTTTATTAGGTATATGTCAATTATATTTTATGTCCAAATTCGGTTCCTTTTGAACATAGCTAGATTGTTTTGCCTTAAAAGGTCCAGCTGCTTCAATATGGCCAACAGCATTAATAAGAGTCTGAAAAACACTATTATAGCGGTTGAACTTTGAACAGCGAATGATAGAGCCCACATAAAGTACATTTTAGAAACAGGTTCGTAAATTAGATTGCTTGCGTATAAATTATTTGAACTGTTCCCATAAACCAACCTTAGACAAATAATTATGAACAACCAAATGTTTATTAATTAACAGTAGTCATAAATCAACAGTAATTTACTGCCGTGATTCGTTTATGAGCTGAGTATAGAAAAATTCTGAAATCTTGGCTATTCGCTTTTGGTTTTGTCAGAACCGCATACCTGACTGGTGCTAATATATTTTTCTGTCAAGAATAACATGGTTGAGTTTGCTGCTAATTAGCAGTAGTTATACAAAAATTGCTTTGATTCAAGGATAAGCATGTGGTTCTATTATTGCGTCTGGCAAATATTTCATAGGAAGTAATAGGTATGATAATTAACTGCGTCAATTAAGTCGAATTTAGTTTGGCCGAAATTGCACCTTGAAAATTTGTATCACACCTATACCGATACGCACTTCTAATTTGCAACAGGATTTTAGTGAACAAATAGCCTTCGCTAAGGCGATTGGATTGATGAGCTGATGCTAATATTAACTGTAGAAACTCAATTATTTTTAATTGAATACAACGTTTAGATGAGGCGATAAAGTATGATATATGTTAACATAGTCAATTGGTAAGAATTATAAAATTTTAAAATCTAGCGGTGGATAACTATTTAAACTTTTAAAGGGACGAATTCTTAAAGTGCAAAACTTTGCTCAGTCGAAATACATGTAGGGAGATTTCGTTGTAACCGTTGGTGATTCGTAACCAGTGAAATAAACTATCTTTGTCATTAGTACAAGTTCATATATTAAATAGGTAAATGGGCCTATTTCCACAAATAAGCGTTTGATGTAATTGAGGTGTTACAAAAGAGTTACTAACAGTTTTCCTCTAGAAATGTTATTTTATTAAAGAAACCCGATTTTAACTGATTAATTTGAATTTGAATTCCCCTAGCTTCTATTATTCTATAAAGTTGTCTGAATTTTTGAAACCTCCTCTAAACTTATGCTCATATTATTTTTCTCTGCCACGTCACATTTCTACAGATTTTTCAGTACGCACTTGAAGTATAGTAACATTTTACTTCAACCCCTTTAACTTTATACGAATGAAACAAACGTTACAAGACAAATGATGCTTTGCTATTTTTTTAATGAGAAATCGGCTGGTTTCTTTGGGAGAGTATTTTTTGAATGTGTGCTATAGCTTTTCAAAATTCTGTAATTTAATTATTTTCATTTACAGTGATTTGCCAAGTTCATAACGTTCTCTGTTAGCATTATTTAGTGAGAAATGGTAATCATGTTCCTTGGCTAGTGGAGCACTGTTAATTAGAAATTCGCTAAGGGAAGTGACTGTTTTCTACAATATTTAAAAAAACAGTAAAAAATACCACTCAAAATATAGTTTGTCCATTTGTAGTTATTCGTTTTACAGTTTAATCAGAAAAAATCTGAACATTCAATTCAAAGCTAATTTATGAAATGCGGGTTTATCGATACAGATTCTAGTTCAACAGCAAAAATATGAAGAAGCGGGTCAATGGTCTGATTTTATGATGTGAAATGCGGATCTGAAATGATTAACACTCCACAGGGAACATAATGTCAGACCGTCTTGTAGCTACAACCATTTCTGGTGATTAATGATTTTAAAATAATGTCAACAACCATTCTTCAGGTTTCCGACCTTTATATTAACTCTATAACAACTTGTAATGCATGTTAGCGCGCGGCTTATCAAGGAATTGTGTTCAATTCACAGTTTTCCCTAACGACTTGTAGTGATCCACGCTTCCAAAATGTAATGAATGAATTCGAAATTTGGTTAAACATTTTAAGAGATTGGAGACCTACATCTAAAGTTATCAAAATTTAGTGTTTTAAGGCGATAATAAAATTTCTACAAACCCTCTGGTGGACTTACGTCTATCTGCAAGAGAGGATTCCAATCAAAACAGTGCAGCTTCCAAATGAACTTGCTTTATGTTAATTATGTTCTACACAAAGACTATGTCTGAAGCTTCAAGGAATAACCACTTCTACAATTCTACTTACTTTGGCCAAGATGTACTCGTTTCATCCACGGATATATCTGAGGAGGATTGGACTGACTTCCGCTCTTCGAGTTATTGTTATTCGTGTTCACCTTCTGATCATTACTAGATGTTGAACTAGTGCTTGACGCAGGTGAGGAGAGATTTTGAGAAACTGTCGAAGATGCAACGCCGGGCTTAATTCCTGGTGACGTGCTGACCGATAAAGGTGATGTCAACCCTGAAGATTTGTTCGAAGTTATAGTGGCGTTGCTGTTGTTGCTCGATTGTGTATTGGCTAGAGGTGGAGTAGCTCTATTAGGAGGTGCGTTCGTGCTCAAGTCTTGAGGACTGGCAACTCCCGTTGAAGATGTGGAGTCAGCGTATTTACAACTAGCTGATGGATTAAGCATTCCAGGACTCTGTCCACCTGGGCTAGCATGATGCATATGCGAACTTGCAGCCGGACCAGGAATTCGCTGTGGTTGCAACTGGGTATAGTCTCCCATAGGTTGAAGGCCATGGCCGGGTGCTGGAGTCGCATACGGATGGGGAGTGTAACCCTGAGGTCCTACTTGTGGCGGAGAATAACATGCGGGAGGATAACTAGCTGCCGCTGCTGCATTAGGATTATAATAGTCTCCACCGGGACTGGCAGCTTGATGTGACTGTTCTCCAGCCCTGCCCTGTTGAGCATAGCACTGAGCTAAAGAGTTCACAAACTGATAAGAACTCATGATCTAGTCAAACATACAAATTCCTACACGATGTTCACAATTAGCACGAGCATACCAAACGAATCGTTCAAAATCCGGAATAAAGCTACACAGTCACAAAGAGAAGGGCGCGTGGCCTAATGGCTATAAAACTGTCACAATGTGTTTTACGATCAGACCGGGTTACCAATGAGTAAAGCGAGCCACATCGCGAACGCGACTAACTTGCCACAAACGACCGTATCACGTGGAATCTTATGTGATAGTAAAACAACGCGCGGCGAACAGGCGCCAGAACTGGGCAAGACCACGCGTTTTGCTATAATCCCACACTGTTTTGCTTGGCATAACTTTAGTGGATAGAGAACACAATATCGAAACAGCGAATGTCAAACAGAGACAGCCAGTGCAAGAGGGGATAACTTGGTGGCTTCGTTATTTGTAAACGCCGCGCTTTGGCAAGCGCAAGTCAAAGGGAGGAGCGTTCTTCCTGGGGCGGTGCCATGAATTCAAATTGATAATTTGTGAATTGTTTAAGATTTGATGCTTGGCTGAGCGGTCTACTGGATTCCGGTAGCTTGGCTAATGAATCAACTGAAGATGACCGGCTCGCAGTTGATGATTTTCTCAGTTTTACCTTCCAGTTCATGTTTTTGGGTTTTTCAGTCAGATGTGTGAAGTGACAATTGTGCGATTTTTGATTGGCTGTGAAGGATAATTTTTGGAAGAATATTGTCCACGCATGTGAAACTGAATTTATCACTGGTTTTTAGGCAGGATAATCACAAAGATCGGTCACTTCAAATCAACTGAGAACATTTGGCCATACCAACTTTCATAAATTTGGAACGAACACTTTTTTAATGCGAGAACAAGCAGATTGCCAAAAAAACATCTCTTATGGTAGTTTTGCTATTTTAGGGAACAAACTTTTGAAGTTTTCTCATTTGGTCCGATCTATACGTTTTCTGTTAGCTCTAAGACCTTAGACACAGAACTTGCCAAAAAACTCACATTCTTATACTTACCTAACATGAGCAAACAAGAAACTGTCCCAAAAGTAACTAGCTGCGACTCAAGACCCCAATTCCTACAATAAAAAAATTGATATTTACAAAAATACTTTATAATATATAATAATCTTTTTGAAGTACATTTGAACCCTGTTTGCATAAAAATTTTTTCGATATATTTTACCTAGCAATTTTATATCCAATGTGGGCTGATCAGCCAACTTTTTTTCACAGTTTATGCGTTTTTTTTTCTACTACATGCATAGGTATAACTAATCCAGTTTTGTTACTATTCACAAAAAACGACTATCAAAAAAATCGACTATCGAAGCAATTTTTATACCTGAATAAATTATCTTACATCAACTACTTACTGATCCTTGTGTTTCTGCTTTCCTTGAATCAACGCGAATTGGGTGCTGGTTATAGTCAACAATATAAATGGATATTTCAGAATACTTCCTGCAATTTTGTCCAACTTTCTTTTTCAACGAGCATTACTTTCAAAACGCGTTTCATAACGCTGTTCCTAAATTATTGCGAAAATAAAGGAAAACTGGGATAATAAAACGCATTGTCTTACGCAAGTGCTTGTACCTACTTGAGATTGCATTTTTGATTTTACATAAGTAGCTATGTGGTCCTAGTAATTGTTTTCACGATTTGGCATTTAACTACTAGCGTCACAAAAAAACAAGTGCTTGACGAAAAACGATATAAATTAAAAATGTAAATCGAATGCAAAACTGTTTTTTTTCTTGTTTGGGTAAACGAAAATGTTACTTACAGACCCAATGAAATGTAGAATTGATGAGTGACTAATTAATTAGTAAACGTAATGCCTTTTAGGTACTTGTTGCGTATACAGGCTGCCTACAATAGTAACAAAATTATAGCAGTAAAGAATGTCTGCAACAAAAGTGGTTTTTTTGCTCTCAGTCTCACTCTGATCATATTTAATTTTTTTTTAAATTTAGATCATTGTTATAAAGGGCATTTAGCCAAAAACAGCTGTCGTCAATATGATTTATTTTAACAGGCTCCAAACTATTTCCAATTTAAAAACTGTTTTTAGTGGAAATTGGTGCTTTATTGTGGATATCTACATTAAGCAATATTTACCGTACATATTGACGTAACTTAGAGGGACTATTTTTTGCTTTCTAGAATCTAGCTGATCAGAAGGTAAATAAAATAAATGTTTTGAAATTTTAATTGCTAGTTTGATTCCCACTAAAATCTGAAAAAACTGAAAACAGTAAATTGATACTAGAGTACTTAATAAATTTCTCCTGAGCAATTCTTTTGGTTTAACTTTTTAATTCTTTAAGTTTAGCCATACATATTATGGGCCACAGTGTACAACAAAGTCATATTGTTTAGGCAAGCATAATTTGTGTTGCTTAATTGGCGCGTAAGCAACCTTTTTTGGTCACCTAATCGTGGTCAACTCGTTGCTGATACAAAATCTCGTTCTCTCGTGTTCGGGAATTTACTTTGTACTGTTTTTTTTATCTTTCTCAATATACTTTTATTCACACTAAGAGTGTGCACTTTATTTCACCAACCGCATCCATAATAGCATAATGTAACTATAATAATCTCATAAGAATGCTTTCAATGATGTCAAGCCTGGCAATTTTATAAACCTTGCAGCTATTCCGATTCTAGCTTACTTAAACAACTAGTTTTTTTTAATCAATGAAAAGTTTCGATTTGAAGAAATCTATCTAGCAATTGAAATGTAGTTCCACTAGGTATTTTTTCTTGCCAAATCTAGTCTTTCCTCCTGCTGATTTTACATATTTTCTTGCGTTGGTTTTATCACATAGCAAAACAACACGGTATTACCAGATAGCTACATGCTCAATAACTTACTTCAGTCAGCTTTCGGAGGAAAGTTAACGTTGATTTAAAAAAAAAATTCTCATGCTAAATGTTATTACTTAAGTATTAAGATAAAAAACTGGACAATTTTTACGAAACCATCTTCCAGAACCTACTTACTTAGAAAAACCAAAAATGGTAGCAAGAGGGATTTTTACTCATTTTAGTAGACCTACAAGCTGATTTATAACTGAGGGTGATTTATCGTTCTTTTACTATTTAAATTTAGGTTTAAAGAAACATTGCATGGTTTGAGTACATGCCAAATTCTATACTTATTACATGAGTTTCTTCATGTTTAACCTACCTATAGCTGCCTAACTCGTCTCGGAACTAAATATTTTGCAAAAGACGTTCCAATCTCTTTACAACCTACCACTACCTACTTAAAATATTTCCAACGAAAGGAAAATTATAATTTTTCAAAACCAAATCATTTCAATAAAGAAACTCTGAAATTTAGAAATAATTGTTTGATCAATATCTTCAAATACGCTTTCGAATTCTCTTCGCTCAAAATCTCTATTCCTATATATTTCGTACATTTCCAATTTACTGTTTACATACATACTTTTTTGTATGTAAATATGTATCCGGTATATATATGTAAGTATGGAATACAATAAAAAAATTATGTACCTATGAAAGCCTGCCCTGAAAGCAATGCTGTTGCTTACAAAGTAACCTGATAGGAGTTGCAAATTTGAATATAAACTATTTTTCACGTCGACTTCATTAATGTTGTAGATTATGCTTAGATGGAAGCCCCACTTAAAACTCCTTTAAATTCGACATGAAGATCAAATAAATTTGTATTATTTACATGGCCCAGCAAATCAGTAAATACGATTAAACCAAATTCTATTCAAACCAAGGCTTAACTGACCCGCTGACCCGCAGATACCGGTCAAGACAATTTTCAACTTCTGTAAGACTTCACGAGTGACTAACTAGTCTGATTTCTTCTTTAACTGTAATAATCAAGCTTTCAATTTTAATTGAGCAGTATATTCAATATTATTTGATTGATATGTGGAAAATTATATTTTATCGTGCCAATAAAAATAAGGTTTCGGTCAGGAAATCTGGCAGGCCATTCTAGCCATTTTATGGGTTTTCTGATCCCTTTCTCTAAAGACTATTTGCCTTTATTTTTACATCCTCAAACCGAAGATCAACCAATTGTTTGCTACATTAAATGTAGCAAATGTAAATTAATAAAACATCCTATTGCTTTCTAGACATTCGAATGGCCAGGTGACAATTTCTTTCATGATGGAACTTCTTAAATATGTCCTGTAGGTACCTAAATATTGTAGAGTCTCGCACGCTTCCGCTTATGTCCTGGCCCTGGAGACTATCATATAGATATCTTGTTTTCAATTGAAAGTACCATTGTAATTCGTGTCACAATCAAAATACATCTAAAGTTCGTTTTGAAGAAATGATTTAAGTCATGGCCTTTATTGGCATGGGCGTCTACAATTCCGGAACAATTTCCATTTTAGATATTATCCACATGGCTTACGTGCATCTATTGAGATAAATGTTTTTTTGCCAAGCACCTTCTAAGAGACAGAGGATTGCATAGGTGTAGAATGAAAATTTATCAACATATCTTACTATCTAAAGATTCTTGTTCTCCTCGAAAACGACATAATCCCTAAACTCCTCTTTGTTAAACATTTTGAAATTAATAGGTGGAGGCAGTGGCATAGTGAAGGCAAATACTACCAGTAACAATACTGTGAATCAATAGGAGTTCTGCGCATAAACAACTCCCAATACGATAAATTCAGTTTAATCGAAGCTAGAGTGAACCGTGATCTAGATTAGTACCCCGGAAGGTAATAATAAACACATTCCAGATCGCTTTAACCGCGGCTTTCTCTACTTTGATGTTTACACTCGCGCAGCCATAATTCAATCATAAGTGGCTATTTATTAACTATTGTTTTCTTAACAAGTCTCACAAATGAAAAATGTTTATTTGATACGAGCAATAAATTCTTCAAACGTCGCTGCTAACCAAAACATGATTGAACAGCGAACAGTTTTTAAAAACCGTTTCGCTGATTGAGAATATTTAATTTTCGAACAATTCCCGTAAATATTTTGATTAGTTTTCGAGGATTCGCAGATTGTGTTGGAACCGATAATGTTGCAGATTTGATTAACGAACTGATCCATTTTGTGCGTCTAATGCCAAACGTCCTATAATGTAAGTATTTACACTGGCAATGGTTTGTACTAATTCTCATGGATTTTTCGAGTCGTTTTACTGTTGTGCTGCTGTTGTATCTTAAAGTTCTCTGAAATTTTTTAGGATGCAAAGCACTATTTAAGTTCTTTCCATATGCTCGACTATTTTCATTAATAAAGTTAAGAGAATCTTTAGATTCAGTTTTTATTTACATTAACACTCATATTCGCCTTTA